TACCACTTTTATTAGTAGGTAATCCTGAAGCTCAGTTCTGTAACAGGGAGAGGTGGTGATGTGGTGCATTTAATTTACCTGGGTGCTGCTGAGCCGGCTGCTGCACCTGAATACCCGGCCCTGGCATTCCAGACTTTGGCAGCTGATTTCTCACGTCGATGATCACCTTGCAGGAACTCATGCTCTGGGCAGAGCTGCTGGAGTTGGGTGCACTGTGATGTTGCTGTGATGTCCTACGGAGCCACACAGTGCTTCAGCACCGTGCTGGGATGCTGCTCCACGCAGCCCCCCAGATCCTACAGTGTCATCCATCCCTACTATCCACACATGGGAATTTGCTGCTCTCCTCCTCCCAGCCCATCCGAGGGGCGTTTGGCCCCAGCATGCAATGGCGATGCTTTATTTCCATGGCAATGGCTTTGTAGCTTTGCAGTGAAGGACGGTCGCTGCGCTGCAGGGGTGGTGCAGAAACACGGGGCTGGGAGGAGGCAGCTGTGGCCAAGGACCCGCTGCTTTCCCCTTGCTCCAGCGTGAAAGTCAGCCCTGAGGTGCAGCAGTGTTTCTCCTTGCAAACCCAGGGTGTTCTGTCAGTGTTCCCGTGGTGCTTTGAGCTCTGGTGTGGGACACGGAGCCCGCAGGCAGCGATGCTCCCTCCGCACCAATGCTCGTGGTTCCCATCACACCGATGTGAGGATGCTGTGCCCAGCCTGAGAGCAGCCAGCATCACCCATCTCAGCCCTCCCATTCCTGCTGGGAATGGTTCTGTCTCTGTTCCGCCCGCTGTTTGGAGATGTAAAGTGCTCCGTTCGTAAATCATCCAAACAAGGACATAACCTTGATTCCCTGTGCAATACCAATACATTACCTAACATGAGGCATGAAATGGAAGAATGGTTCCATTTGTATAATCCTGCATTAAAAATCAGCCTATTCTGCATTTACTGCCTCCTGTGAAGTGTCTCCACAGTCATGGGAGAAAGGGGCTGGTTTTGGAGAGCAAACATCACCGTGTGAAAGGATGCGAATCAGCACCTCTGCCGCTCTGCCCTTTAGAGTCACACTCGAGTGCGTCTTTTGAGGCTTCCCTGAAATGGGTTATTTGCCAATGGCTTGCAAGCTGCTGACGATTTGTATTTTGCAATTTGTCAAAGCCTCTCCATGGCCCTGATCCTAGTTAATTGCTTTGACAGATGACCAAATTCAGGGATTTCCAGCGCGCGGTGCTCAGCCTGGTGATACAGCTGTTGGATTAACCCACGTCCCATGGCACCATGCAACCCCGTGGGCTGTGGGACTGAGAGCTGCAGCACTGCAGAGGGGTTTGTCCCTGCACTGCTGTGCCCTTCCTGCAGGATCCGTGAATGTCATTGGCACCTGGAGAGAATGGGCAGGAGCACGCTTTGCCTTGAGGCAGTGTGAGATGCTTTCCCTTCGTGGCATGGCTTGGACCTGGGTTTGCCACACTATTTCACTTGGTAATGAGGGAGATGTGAGAACAGAGGTGGTAATGGCAGAGCAGAGAGAATCTTAGAGAGGTTCTTATGTGCTTGGAGATTGCCAGTTAACAAAGTGCTTCTCTTAATGCTCTTGGGCTCCTGGCAGTAGATGAGGCTCCATCCATGGGCAGGGAACCAGCCTGGCCTTGGTGCTCACAGGGGGAGAGATGGGCAGAGCCCTGTGGGAGTGATGCCTCTGCTCAGGGCATGACAGCATCACTGGGGTGATGTCACTGAGATGCAAAGCATGGAGAGATCAGGCCTGTGCAGCTCCTCGAGTTAATCTGTGTCTGAAGTGCCAGCCTCCCTGCTCTTCAAAGCAGAGAGCTGCGTCGGAGAGGATTTGGGAAAGGATTTTCATATGCGGAGGACACATCACACAAAGCAATGGGTCTGGCAGAAATGCTCTCAGTGCCCTCTGCTCAGGTATCTCCATCACCCTGCAAACAGAGATCGCCTCTGCTCAGCAAAGTGGTTGGAGCTGAAAGACAGAAAATCCCCACGACTGAGGCTGTGCTGCAGCAGGTGCTCTATGGGATGCATTGGGATGGCCTGGGATGCTGGAGGACGCCTGGAGCACCGTGCTCATGGCCAGGGCTGTGCTGTGGTGTTGGCGTGGGCTGTCATGAGCTCAGCTTAAAATGCAAAACGTGCCGGCTTCTCCCCCTCGCTCCGCTGTGCCTCCGACCGAGGGATTTAATCTCAGTGGCGGAAATTTATGGCTGATGTCTGAGTTGGCCCTTTCCAGAAGAGCAGGGGGAAAGGGAGGGAAAACAAATGACTAAATATTTACGTGTTTTTATTTCTGCCAGGAAATTAAACCCTGGCTCATGGTCCCTTTTAACTTGCTCTGTCTCCACGCTGCTGGAGCGAGGTGGGGGCTGCTGCTGGGGTCCCACCCCCGTGGTCCCTTTGCATGCAATCACTGTAATTACCTGAGCAGTTGCATTGAAATCAGCCAGCAACTCTTGTACCTGTCAGTGGGGATGTGTAAATATTTGTAGGAGTTTCTCTCGCTGGATGAAAATAAGGCCTTCTTACAGCCATTAGCCCACGGGAGGAGTTGGTTGTACAGGCAGGAAGGTTCCTGGGCAAGGAGGGCAATAAAGGGTTTCCATCACTTCAGATCTTCCTGCTGCTCTGCTCTTTTCCTGACTGAATTTCCAAGTTTCGTTGGCCTTCCCTCACCCCACAAGAAAGAGCCTTAATTCTCCATGCTTTCCCCTCCATCCTTTGCAATGGGAAAAATAGTTGCGGGTGGGCAGGGGCTTGTGGATAACAAATCTCAATTTTGCTGTGGGTGCACTGAGCACTGACTGCTGTGGCACTGAGGGCACTGCTGTTCCTTGGCCTCTGCTTCCTGCCTGGCAGTTCAGCTCAAGTGATTGGAGGAGGATTTTGTGCCGTTTGATGCATCAGCAAAGGTCGTTCATCCTCTGAGTCGCGCCGGCAGCCCGCAGAGCAGCGACTTGCAGCTCCTGGGCTGAGCAGGGATGTGAGAGGGGCACAGGAGCACAGAGCATCCTGACTTTCAGCATGCCCATGGCACGGGGCTGTCATGGAGTGGCTCGTGTTGGAGTGGTGCTGTTATGGATCTCTGGGCAGACGTGGCCCTGCTGCCCGGGCTGCGCCGTGTTTTGTCACCTCTGGCACCTGCAGGACGTGGGGTTTAGAGCTTGGGGCAGCGAGCCACAGCCCCCCCTCCTGCTATGGGGTCAGGGAAAGGGGCTGCTCCCAGCAGAGCCCCGGGACCCCCGCAGCCTCCAGCACTGCCGCATCCCCAGCGCCGCTCTGCGCGCATCGCCTGCGTTGCCTTGGCGACGGCAACTCCCACACGCTGCTATTTATTCTGAAGGACACTTTCTCTTCTGTTGTTGCAAAGCCCTCCAAAGATCGCATGGCGTGGCACACCAAATCCCAGAGGGGTAACCAGGCTCTCAGCTCCCGCCCAGCGGCCTCCTTTTGGGGCCGTGCCAGCCCATGGGGTGCCCAGGACGATGCTCGGGGAGTGACGGCACCTCGGTGGCATTGCTCAAAGCCAGGGTGAGCCCTGGGCAGCGAGGGTGGGAGGAAGGATGTCCCTGTATGTGCTTGGGTATGGCGTTTCTGCTGTGACCCACGCGATGCAGCTGTGTCTGCTTCCAGCTGCAGGGCAGCACTGAAATGATGCTTGTGTTGGAGCTGAGCCCTGTGAGCTGCCCGGTGCTGCGGTGTGCTGAGGCTCTGCCACTGCTGCTGCGACTTGGGAAGCAAGCAGGAGAAAATGGGAAGAGGGGAGAAATGTGCTTTTCTCCACGAGCCGCCAACCCCGAGTACCGGGGAGCGAAATTCTGTCTTTGAGAAGCTCAGAGACAACAGCAGGGCCGTAGCGACAGCTGAGTTTGGGCTGGTTGCGTTTTCCTTCTCCTCCTTTGGCAGTTATTAATAAAAGTGCCTCATTTGCGCTGCTTCCTTCCTCGTGGAGGAGCGGGCAGGCGGCGCGGCGTGCTGTGTGTGCATGACCGAGCGCTGTGCGCGCAGTGCTGGGGCTGCCTGCACCTCTCCTTCCTCACAAGGAGAAATTTCAGCTCAGATGAGAGTTAGGCAGAGGCTAAAATGGAGCGTGACGCCGGAGCGACAGCGTGGCTCTGAGTATTGCTAAGGTGAACCTGTTCTGAATGCTCTCCGGGTACCCGGATGCCTGACTTCTCACTTCTCTGAGCCGCTGATGTGCAGCACGTGGGGATGATCTCTGTTCCAAAATCTGCCTGCTTTCACACTGTGGGTCAGTGTGCAGCTCAGCTCCCAGCACCTCGCACCGTGGAGCTGCCACAGGAGGGCAGGTACCACTGGTTCCCTTTCCAAATGGCACCCATTCCTGTGGACAAGGTGCCACCAATACAGAGGGCACAGGAGCGGCTGCGCTCAGCCCTGCTGCCCTCTGAGAAATGCACCAACGATGGATTTGTTACTGCGTTGTATTTTTATTTTTATTTTTTCACATCTTGAAATTCTTCCTCCCCCAGCCTGAACTATTTTGGTTTATGTCGTCTGTTTCTGGCTCTTCCCTTTCTCCTTCTGCACTCTTTCCGTGCATCGCCTTTTTCCTCCCCAAAATAAATGCTGTTATGCTTTGGAAAAAAAAAAAAAATAGCCAATTAGGGAGGGAGGAAAAAAAAAAAAAGATGCTTTGAACAGAAAAAGACTGCGCCTCAGAGTATCCAGGTCATCTCCATTGGCTTCATTTGCTCACGCACGGAGGGAGTGTACAAATTCTTCTGTCAACCAGATGCACATTTTGTGGTGCTACCAATGGCTTTACGGGGTGCAGCGCTGCGGAGGATTAGTCTGTTTAGGCATATAAAGCTCTCATTAACTCCTGCTGAGTTCGACAAAAGTCTTTCTTGTGTAAAGGCTGAATAAAATGAAGTAAAGATTTTTGGGCCTTGGCCTAATGATTTTTTTTTTTTCTTTCTGGAAAAAAGCAGGAAAAAAAACCTAACCCTGCGTACTTCAGGTGTTTTCTCACAGTGAAACACTGCGCTTCGCATGAGCTGACATCATAGGGGGAGACATGAGTTAGAGCAGAGCTTTACAAGGCAGGATGCAACCGGAGAAGAAAGAGAGATTTGACATGAAATAACGGTGGCACTTTACATCAAAGCAAAATTTGAAATAATTAACCTGCCGACAGTTCGGCGTGGTTTCCATTTGATCTGCAGCGAGGGCGCAGCTGAACGGCTGCTCATCATTCCCTGCCGCGCTCAGGGCTTTGCTCCTCGCACACAGCCAGCACACATTGGGGCTCAGTGCTGCAGCCAGCGCTGCGCCGTGCTGCGTGCCCAGCCTGCGCCCGCGAGAATGGAGCTGCGTTTGAGTCACGGCGACCTGATTAATGAGAAGTGGGTTACACATGCTGAAGCGAGCGTACGTGTGCTGCCGTGTGCTAACTCATTGAGCGCTTGTGCAGCTCCCTGCTGGCACCGCTGTACCCCGAGCCCTGAAATGAGGGAGGGCTGCGTCCCTTGGGTCAGCTCTCCTGGCTACTCCTGATGGGGATGGAGGGATGGAAGGATGGAAGGATGCTCTTCTTGCGTGCAGCCTTGGCTTTGGTGTCGCTTTGGTGTCTGTGCCATCACCACGTGTGCAGCAGGAAGGGAGCAGAGCGTCCTGCGATGCCATTTGGGGTGGCAGGGAAGTGGCAGCATCCCATCCCAGTGCTGAGGGGGTGGAAGTGTCACTGGGTCGGACGTAGCCGGGCTGATGAGTGTTGCTCCGCAGCTTGTCAGAGGGGTTGGTCGTGCTGCCCGCACTCTCCTGCTTTCTAACATGCTCTGTGTCTGCCCGCAGGTCAGGTTGCCCGCTAGGAAGCCATGCTTGGATGTTGATAGCCATGTTCCACCTCGCCATGGACCTTGCCAGCTGCGAGCCCGCCGGGACCCGTCTCTCTCCACGGTCGGCACAGCGGCACAGACTGCCCCGTGGTGTGCTGTGGAGCACGGGGGGCAGCGAGGAGCCCCGCCGCCCCAGCCCCCCCTGGCCCTGTGCCCCCCGTGCCCGCCGCCCACCCCCCGTCCCCCTGCCCCGCGCCCGGCGACAGCTGCGGGGCCGTGGCTTTGCTCCACGTGATGGGCGGCCCACGGCTCTGCCCGAGGTCATCGTCTGGGGCCCCACGGGTGAGGAGGACTCCCTGGAGAGCAGCACGCTGCCCAGCATCTTCACCACCGCCGCCACCACCACCATCACCACCACCACTGCCGCCACCACCGCCGCCACCACCGTTGCCACCGTGCCGACCCCCAGCAGCCCAGCTCCCACCCCTGGCATCGAGGAGCCCCGTGGCCGTCCCAGCACCTCTGAGCCAGCTGCCGGCCACAGCAGTGGTGGAAAGGATGCGCGTCCGCCCCGTGGCCTGGGGGACACAGCAGGTACCAACCGAGCGCCGCGCTCACCCATCTGCAGGATGGAACACGGGGTCCTGTGCCATGGTTCTGGGGATGCTCATGTTTGGTCTGGTGATTGGGGTGGTTTGTCTGGTGGTTGGGGGGGTTTGTCCATCGCTTGGAGTCGTTTGTTCGTCATCTGAGGTGGTTTATCCTTAAGTTGGGGTGGTTTGCTCATTGGTTGGAGCGGTTGGTCCATCAGTTGGAGTGATTTGTCCATTGGTTGGGGTCGTTTATCTTCCAGTTGGTGCTGTTTGGCAGTTAGAGTGGTTTGTCCATCAGTCGGGGTGGTTTGACCATTGGTTGGTGCGGTTGGTCCATCAGTTGGAGTGATCTGTCCATTGGTTGGAGTGGTTGGTCCATCAGTTGGATTGGCTTGTCCATCAGTTGGGGTGCTTTGTCCATTGGTTGGAGTGGTTTGTCTTGCAGTTGTCGTGGTTTGTCTTGTGGTTATTGTGGTTGGGGTGTTTTTTTTCCTGCAGTCCCAGCTTCTCTGTGTATGCCAGGGCCTCTGGGCACATCACACGGATGCTCTGCTCAGCTCTGGCTCCATCCTGAAGCAGCCCAGGGTAGTGGTAGTGATGCCAGGGGTTGATATGGTGCTGAAGAGCACAGCCGAGCTGCAGCCTATGGTGGAGGCTCACCGGGATGGGTGGCAAATGAGCATCCAGAGGATGCTGTCACCAGGTGCTGTGGCATGGGCTCCCACTGCCCAGCTCTGAGATAAGGGCGTGATTTCAAATGAGTGCTTGGGAAAAAAATGGAAGCTCTGAATCATCACTTTCATCTGAGACATTTTCTAGCAGCTTGCTGTATTCTTCCTATTATCAGTATACATCCACAAACCATCTTCCGTAATCAAATTTAGTGCGGCACTCAGTTACTGTAATGCTTTCCACCAGCACTATTTGCTGCATGGACATGGATGAGAAAGCAGGTTCCCATTTATTTCAAATTATATTTGTTATTACCAATATTAAACTGTGGGATACTGTTATACAGTTTACAGAACATATTCATTGTGCATTGACTGCTTTTAGCCCACAGTGATTTTCTAGTCAAAACGAAAAGGAATTTTACGATCTAATCTTAATCCCAATGAATTTATCTAGCAAGGAGTGACACTGAGGTTGGTTTTCCCTTAACTTAAATAAATTATTTATAGTGGTGAAAAGCTCCCAACCTACACAACCTTAGGAAAAAAAAAAACCACATTAGAATCAGCTGGCTTAATTAGCCATGGAGCATCGGAAACAATTCCTCAGTTTTGCTGGAGGCTTTGGGAATGGGGTGTGATGTGTTTCTTCCCCTGTCAGATGTGCTGCTCAGTGGGCATCGCTGTGCTGGTGCTGGGATGCTGAGGAGCACAGCAGCCCCCAGCCCCAGCCCTGGGGAGGGAGGGAGGGAGCTCCTCTAGGACCAGAGCTTTCATTAATGATCTCCTTTCCGCCGTGTGGTGGACACTAAAGGCTAAAGGGCTTCGTTGGTTGGAGTGGGTGCTAAAGGCTAAAGGCTGCCTTGATCTCAGCCTATCCACCCTAGATTGAAAAGTGCCTGAGCTGCACGGTTGCTTTTGCTGCCATCATCCATGTCAAGCAGCCAGCAGAGCCCCAGCCCATGCTGCTATCAGCTAACACTGCCCAACCCGCTGTGGGATGATGGATCCCACTGCTGCCTGCTTCCCCTTGGGCAGGGAATGGCAGGAGGGAGCTGCAGGGCATCGGGAGCATTGGGGTCACCTTCAACCCCACACCAAGTGACCAGCTGTGCCTTGACGCCCGTTTCTCCTTCCACTGCTCAGTTACATAAGCAGCAGCGGCTGGAAGTGTTTGTTCTCTGCCTGGGAAAACATATGGTTACAAATGAGGATTAGGTAACTTGTTTGTGCTCCTGCTTTGCCTCGGCCAGCATCACAGATAGGCCAACATCACAGGAGCTCCCTGCAGATGGGTGTCGGGGTGGCCCCAAGGAGGGGACGTGAGCACCCACCCCATGGTTGCGATGGCACTGTGGGTGTCATCCCTTTGGCTCCCGGTGCAGCCAACGTAGCAGAGGTTGGTTGGACAAGCAATGAACGCAATCTCACTCAGGTCTTCCTCCTCTCACCCCACTCCTGCTTGGTGAAGGGGAAAAAAAAGAGACAGGAGCCATTTATCTGTGACTCACCGACAGAAAAACAAGGCTAAAAATTCCCGTGGAACAGCAAATATCCTGCTTAGGAGGAGAAAGACAGACAAGTGATTGCTTCTAGCATCCAAAAGAAAAGAGCAAAATGGGGCGTGCGGCTCTGCTGGTGGTGGGTGTTGGCATGCAAGGGTTTCTGTTTTGTTTTTTTGCAGCAAGTAAACTGACAATCAGGTGTGTTTATCCCGGTGCCACCTATGTCTGCTCAGCGCCTGGCAAGAGTGCTGATGGCAGTCAGATGGGGCCTCAATATGTTCACCCAGGCGTAGTTTATGCTTATGCTTTTCAAAAATGTGCTTCCTTTTTTCGGGGGCTGTCAGATCCATTTTACGACGGAGCATGTAAGGAGAGAAATAATTAAAATTCCGGAGTGCTGGAGAGGTAAAGGTTGTAGGGCTGCTGTGCTCCCGGCACGGCTCAGCCAAAGGGGTGAATCAGGGACTGCTGAGATCTGGGCACTGATCACGCTTGCTGAGTTGTCTGGAGCTCTCCTGTCTGTATGATTAGAAAAAAAAGCCATCTTTAATTAAACCCTTAAGTGCTTTATAAGGCAGAAGACTTTATGTGCCGTCTGCTGCTCCTAATGGTTATTTGATGGCCGGTATGCAATGGATTTGGCATCATGTGCCGCCGGCAGCGTGCTCAGAGCAGGGCTTGTGGGCAGTGCTGGGGACCCCAGTGTGGCTGCGTCCGTGGGGCTGTGGGTGCTGCCCTGTGCTGTGCTGCTGGTGTGGGCAAACTCTGCCCTGCTGGGGTGAAGCAGGAGGGATGGGAGAGGGGCTGCCGGATGCGCCGAGATAGCATCTGCTAAAGGCTTCAAAGGAATTAATGAAAGATAAAATGTCTTTAAAACCCTGGGCAGCTGGGATGGAGCTGCTGCTTTGATGTGCTGTGCAGGGTGGGAGCTCGGCCCTTCGGGGCAGCCATGGAGGGGCTGTGCCCACCCATGGGTCGTAGTGTGGTCTGTGCTGTGCTGCTGGCCGTGCTGCTGCCCAGGGTGATGCAGGGTGCAGAGCTGAGCTCTGCATGCAGTGCGTGACGCTCAGGGCTGGCACAGATGGGTGATGCTCTTCTCCCATCCCGTCTCAGCCGCAGGTGGGAAGCCCATCGATCCTGTGGGATTATCGAGCTTTCAATTCAAATCTCTCCTCAAAACCTAAAATAGCTTCTGCCAAGCTGGAAACGAGGCCACATTTCGTCTTAATTTGTCAGACAGCCCTCTCTGCACGACAGGAAGAGGACTTGTTGGGCACTCAGTAGGGCTGGGCAGTGCCACGGACAGAGCAGCAAGATCCATCTCATCCTGTCGTTGCTGGGAGCATGGCAATGCGTGTCCCAGCTGACAGCACACCTGGCCCCCACGCATGGCCAGCACGGGGTCTGCATTCCCTTTTGTCACAGGGGAGGTGCAAGGGCTGCTGCTGTCCTGGGAGGTTCCCAGAGGAGGCTGCACGGCTTCCCTTAGGGATGGAGGAGCTGGGGGGGGAGGAGGATGCCTCCCGAAGCAAGAAGTGAGCGTGGTGCGAGCTGAGCTCTCTCTGCCTGTTGTTTTCCCAGGATCAGCAGATGCTGTGTGCACGCCCGCCCTCGCCCACGTGTGTCTAAATGAGCCAGGAACGCTCCTCTTCTGCTCTCAGGAATATTTATTGCTTGGTGCTATTTGCTGTAACACCTGAGCAGATAAGTCCTGGTGTCTTTAGCGTAAGCCTCCAGGATCTTCTTTCTTGGCAAGGAGATTTCCGAGCAGCAGCAGCAGTGGGATATTCTTCCCCTCTCAACAGCCCAACCCCAAATACCAGGCGGTTTCTAGGAACCTTGGCTTTTTGTTGCTGAAGAGCTGCATTCTAACTTCAGGATTATTGGTGCTCCCCAGGCGGGGTTTCGGAGCTGATCTCAGGGATTTCACAGCACAGTGTCACACAGGGGCCATGGATGGAGCACTGCACTCCCCTGGGCAGTGGGGACCCCCTGAGCCCCCACCCCATGCGGGGACAAAAACACAGAGGCTCTGCTGTAGGAATGCAGGTGTTAGCAGGGCAGACCCAGGGACGTTTCCAGTGCAGGAGGTCAACCCTTGTGTTTCTTGTAGATTCGTTTTCATAAAAGCCATTCAGCAGCACTGTGGTTAACATTAGGACAAAATCCTGCTGATCCCCCCTGGGAAGAGGCCGTTTGTAACAGTGATTGCTGCTGAACGCTCATGCTGTGCTCCCCATTGGATGTTTCTGTCCAGCAGCAGGTTTATGGGCTGCATGAGGCTTCCAGCATCAGATCCCTCCTGCCTTGCCACCAGCTCCAGCTCGCAGTTTTGCCTGCTGGGGCTCAGGCAAGGAACCTTCCCAATGCCATTGATGGCTTCTGAGCAGTGAGCACTCCTTTGCTCCTGCAGGTGTTGAAGGCAGCAGGCTCAAGGCTGCAAAACACAGCGTGAGCACTGCCTGATGTGAGCTGAATGCCAGGCAGTGCTGTGCTGGGCTGGTGACACTGGCTTCTGGCTCCTGCACAGGCTTGGATGCATTCATGGTAGCTGTGGAAATGACCTAGAAGGTTATTTTGGCTGGGGAATAATTCCCACAGGCACCAACTCCATCTGTGTTTTCATCTTTTCCCTCTGTAAGCTCTTCACCTCTTGAGCCCATTCCTTTTGTTGCTGGCAGTGTGCTGTGATGTGCCCTGCTGCCCAGAAGCGACGCTCTTCTTGATAAGCAAGAGGCTGCAGGGCCAACCATGCATGTCTAATTGCAATCAAGCCTTCCTCCCAGCTCACCCCACCCCTCCACAGCCCTCAGGACCCAATGACCCCACCGTGCCAGCAGGCTGCTCAGCCAGCCTGCCCCCATCCAAGCAGGAATCACCCATGAAAAAGAGCCAGGTGGCAGAGCTCCCATAGGCAGCCACCTGCAGGAAGGTGCTGGGGTGCTGAATTGCAGCCCTGCTGGTTGGGACGTTGCAGGTAATCGGAGCAGATGTTGTTTTTCTGCCTCGAACGGTAACTCAAGATTGTACTCTGCAAAACAAAATGAAGCCGTTTCTTCTTCTTTTTTAATTTCATGCAGCTTAGAGGCCCTGATGAGGGTCTTCAAAGAGCTGAGGCTCGTGGCTGTTTTTATTGGGAAAATGAAAAATATGGTCTCCCTAACCAGTGCTGTTGAAAGAAAGGCCTTGGGGGATAGAGGTTCTCTTTGTTTTTAATTAAGAGCTTATATCTCCTGCTTGCTGCCATTGCGCACTTCTGCGGGAGCGAGACACGAGGCCCGAATGGATTTTCTCATGGAATTAATTCTGTCGATGCAGAGCTGTCCAGGAGCTGTTTCAAAAGGTGGACAGAAAGGCCAAAATTCGGTGCTTTCATCTTGGTGGCAAATAGATGGTATTTAACATACAAAATAAAAGCCTTAGCATTTGCTTGCTTTGAGAAGATTGGATTTTTTTCCTCTCTCGGCTGGTGGAATTTGGAATCACGTTTTACGGTCGGATGCAGCTCTCCTGCCTGAACAGACAAGTCCATCCTTGCTGCCCACGTGGGTGCTGATGATGGGTGCCCATAAGCTGGTGGGCCTCGTTCTGCCTAACAAGGAGCGTAACGCCAAGATTTCTGTGCAGCCCAGCGCGCTCCAGGCGCAGACACTGACCGATGCCCATGGGGTGGCTGTGGCTGCGAGCTGCAACCATGGGACCAGGCTGGGATATGGCAGTGCCAACCTGGTGCTGCACAGTGAGCAGTCCCAGGTGGGAGAGGTGCTCAGCAGGATGGAAAAACCCAGCAATATTTCAGCGTTTCCGAGGGTTCAAAGAGTGCCTTTGAAGAGCTTTCCCTCCTGGCATGCGACACATTAAATTCTGCTGCACTAGCAGAAGCGCGGGGGTTTGGACACACTTTCAATTCCATTAAATACTTCTCCTGTAATTACCCTCGAGTTAAATGGTCACTGCGTCAAATTTACTAGTAAAAGCCTTGTAACAGTGGAGTGTTTGCAGTCCCCTTGCCGGGAGGAGGTATCAGCACTGTGTGCAGCTGCAGCTGCCCGCTCACCGCGCGCTTGCTGGGCTCTTCCTGGTGATCAGTGCGCAATTAAGTGCCACCTGCATCTGTAACGAGCTGGGGGCAGGCCTCTGCCATGCACCTTTGGGGCTGACCTGGGTGCAGTGCTGAGCACCTCCAGGATTACTTGAGACAGAGGAATAGAAAACATGAAAGAAGTGAGCAAGGGCCTGGCTGCCTGCTTGGAACCACCAAATCGTTAAGGTTGGAGAAGATTTCAGAGATCATCAGCGATCAGCCCTTCCCCATCATGCTCACTCGTAGAGTCATAGAATGGTTAAGGTTGGAGATGACTTCTGAGATCATCAACCAACAACCCATCCCCACCGTGCTCACTCACACAGCCATAGCATCATTCAGGTTGGAGAAGACCTCTAGGATCCTCAAGTCCAACCATCACCCCATGACCTCCATGCCCACCAAAAGCTGTTGCTCACGTTGGCTGGAGGAGGAGCGTGCGTCCCCTCAGCATCTCTCACAGTCAGCAGCGTGCTGGTAATTTCTCTATATGAGCTATTGATCGTATCCTCCAGGTCCCTTTCCTCCAGACAGATTGGTTTCCTATGGCTGTATTTAAAATACTGCTTTGCTCCTGGTGGCCCTTCTCTCTGTCATCTCACTGCTCTCCCAGGTGTCCCTTATGGGACGTTCCTGTGTCCCGCCGTGCCCCATCCAGTAACACCTCATCTTGCAGATTGGATATTCTTCATCGATTTTGCTTCTTGCCATTCTGTATATTTCTTTGAAGGCTGGGAGGAAAGGAATTTATATGTTTACAAAGTAAGAACAAAGACAAATTACTCCTTATTCTGGCAGGTATTGCTATAGGGCTTCCCAAGAAGCCACTACAGCCACCTGTTGGCCCCGTTTCCATCTCCAGCACTGTTTTTGGGACAAAATGCTCCCCATCCCCTTGAAATCTTCCTAGACCTCAGTGCAGAATTCACGTGCAACACAAAGGAACTACGCTAGTGCATATGGCAGCTGATGTATGTGCCACAGTCTAAAATTATCCAGCTCTTCTTGAAGTCCATGCGTCCTGCTTGGAAGAGCTGCCGTCCTTCCCCAGCTCTGCTCTGCTGTGCTTGGGGTGCTACAAGCACGAGCTCTAATCACAGCACTGGGCTCTCCCTCATCCCCCGGCTCCCACCATCACTGAGGTCTACGTTCCAAAGCTGCTCCTGTTTTCAAAGGCATCGGGCACTGGGTTGCACGGACTTTATTTTTAGAGCTTTTTCTTTTATCTTTCCCGGCGGTGTCCCACTGGGAGCTGCTCCAAGAGCACTGTGAGCACTGCGGCTGTGCTGTGCAGCGCTGGGTTGTGCTGTGCTCTTGCTGCTCCTGACCCCAGCACAGTGTGGGGTGGCACCGTGTGGGGATGGCACAGTGCACGGTGTGGGGCTGAGCCCTGGGAACACCTTGGCTGTGTGTTGGGCTCCGGTGGCCGTTTCCGCACCCCTCGCTTTGCTTTCTGCAGCTGCCGTTGCCAAGTGCTCTCCGGAGGAACCTTGTCACAGTTTGTTTGAGCCAATTGAAGTGTAATTGGGAGTAAATGAAGGAAATGGGTCATTTGTGAAACAGGTGCTTGAGTCAAGGAAAATAACCCTGACTCATCCCTCTGGGATCTGTCCCCACTGGGATGTGGTGAATGGCCTCCCCTGGGGGAGCGCAGTGCGGTGTGTGGCACTGGGACATGGGCTGGGTACAGGGGGTGTGTTTGTGCCCCTTCAGTGTGCTGCTTCCCCCCGTGTTTGGTGAGCAGCTTCTGGGGTGGATCAGCAGTGCATCCTGCTCCGTGCTTAGGCTCTTCTGCACTCCCCAACATCGCGTCCTCTGGCAAAGTGCAGTAAGCAGTGCAAGTGTATCTCCATCCAAAAGCACCCCGCCTTCAGGTTTTATTGTTTTGCACTTACTTTTGCTGTTCTTTATACCAGCATCTCTCAGCTCGTGGCTGAAACCCTCACATCTGTTTTTTCTCTCCATATGCAAGACGGAAGCGCCGAGGAGAGCTGAGCTCCAAGAGGTGCAAAAGGCAACCCCAAGCCAAGCCCCCTTGGGCTGGCACTCTGCTCCATACTGATGCCCCATTCAGGTGCAAGGGCAGTGTTGTCCATCACTTTGCATTGGGTTGCACACTGGCAGCAGGACTGGCTTGGGTCCATGGGTCCTGCAGCACTGGCAGTGCAGTGAGGGCAGTCAGAGCGAGTGAGTGGTGGCTCTCCAGCAGTGATAACAGGCGTGATGCTGGCTGTGCCCCTGCGGATGGATGTGGCTGTTTCTCACTCCTCCTCCTCAGGTCAGCAGCACTCCTGCTTCTGGGCAGTCAGCATCTCTTCAGCAGTGTGTGGGCTGAGCGGCTCTGGGCATTTGTGTGCCTTAGGGAGGTGGCTCTGCCCCAGGAGTGGGGCTGGATCTGACCGACCTCTGCATGGATAGGCTTTGTCAGCAGTGGGGATGTATGCAAGGACCCTAAACCCCTGTGTGAGGCTGAGCAGGAGGAAAACCAACCTCAGGAGAGCCAAAGCTTCCGTCTCCCATCCTTTGAGAAGGCAGCAGAGCAGCACACAGCCGTGCGTACAGCTGCTGGCTGGGGTTGCAGCGCTGCTCTGGCTCTGAAGCACCGCAGCACCAGCTGTGCCTGCATGCAGCTGCCTGGGACCCCTCCTGTGTGGGCAGCAGCAGTTCCCTCACCACACACATTGACACCAACCAGCAGCACTGTGTATGTAGCACATAGATACCCAAAGCTGCTTGTTTTCCCGTCACGCCGGCATTTATTTATTTATTAAAAGCATCACCCATCAGGAGCGTGCAACATCTGTTTGTGAAAAATAGCACATCCTTGGGCCACAGCCAGGAAAATCATTTCATTACGAGATTGCAACTGTAAAGCGGCGCAGAATCACAAACATACTGTACATTGAGATGCTTTTGTTTCCAAACTGCTCATTAGGAATGATACACGAGCCAAAATTATACCCTGTGTAAGGTGAATTAGGAGAAAATGAGCCCAACCGACCTTCTTAAGTGAGCAGCAGTTAGTACTGTAATTATTATCTCTGGTTAATCCCGCACCCACTGCAAGGCTGTGCTCAAGTTTCCTGTTCCATCCCAGAGGGTATGCATCTTCACATTGCTTCCGTTCTTCGTGCCTAATTCAGGCTGACAAGGAACATACTCGAGAGGGGAGGAAACGAGAGGCCCAGCTTAAAGATTGTTTTATGTAATGCAGGAGAGAGAACTGTGCTGCTGCTGCTGCCCGGGGCTGCTCCCAGCCCTGTGCTGTGGGAGAAGGGCAGAGGGATGCGATGTGCTGTCCTGGGCGAATGCCTTGGGGGTGTTCATGTACAGAGAACTCTTCCTTTTCCCTTTTCCTTTTTCCCTTTTTTTTTCCCTTTTCACTTTCCCATTTCTCCTTCCCTCTTCCTTCCCTCTTCCCTCTTCCCTCTTCCCTCTTCCCTCTTCCCTCTTCCCTCTTCCCTCTTCCTTTTCCCCTCCACTTTCATTCCATTCCCTTCCATCCCCTTCCCCTTTCTCTTTCCCTTGTCTCCCTTTTTTCCCTTCCCTTTCCTATCTCTGCAGGTGCTGCACTGTCCCCCTGGTTTCCTATCTCTGTTCTCTCTGATTCCTTCTCTTCCAGGTCTGGCAGTCCATCAGATCATCACTATTACCGTGTCCCTCATCATGGTCATAGCTGCTCTGATAACAACTCTTGTCTTAAAAAACTGGTAAGGGGCCTCATGGTGGGGCTGGGCTGGGACAGGGATTTCACACCAAAACTACAGCAAGCATTGGCTGGTTCAGTTTGGTGCAGGGATGCTTGAGCATCATTGCTGGGTGAACAGCCTTTGCAAGACCCTGCAGTGACATCATCCAGTGATGTCATCCAGTGATGTCATCCAGCAAGGTGCCTGCATTCTGTGGCCTTGCAGGTTGCACTGCAGCTCTCCCACCTTCCCATGGCTCCAAGGCTGGAGCCTCTCTTCTGAGCCTCTCGGATGCTACCAGTTCTAAGTGTGCCCCATCACCTGGAGCGTTCCTGTGCTCCTCGAGCTTCATGTGCTCTCATTTATTCCCTTAACACAGGCTGTGTGCCTGGTAAAATAGGTTAGCTTCTTGCTTCAGGCACTCGTGACTTTACCTATTTTCCCAGAGAAACTGCCCTACTTTGAGGTCAGCGGTGCCAGCTGCCATCATGCCGCTGTGCTCCAGGACTCAGAGGTCCCCAGCAGCAAAGCAGCACCGTGGTGGCATTGCTGAGCTCCCGACGTGTCCCAGAGCTGAGCTGCTGTGTGCAGGTCGGGCTTCCCCACGCAGGAGGCAGAGATACAGCCCTGCAGTTACTTAGCCAGTGCCTTCCAGATAGAAAGCTTTCAAATAAATAAGAAAGAGCACTCGATTGGGAGCTGGTCTATCCGAAGTGCCAGGATTAGGATGTGATATCAAATGATGTATATAATAATGGCTGATAATGCAGTGTGTCCCCCTCCCACCCCCCTTCCCCCCGTGCTCCTCTCCCACGCAGCTGTGCGCAAAGCGGGGCGGCGCGGCGCAACGGCCACCAACGTAAAATCACACAGCAGGAGGAGAGCTGCCAGAACCTGACCGACTTCACCCCCGCCCGCGTGCCCAGCAGCCTGGACATCTTCACAGCCTACAACGAAACGCTGCAGTGCTCCCATGAGTGTGTCAGGACGCCGGTGCCAGTGTACACGGAGGAGGCATTGCACTCGCCTGGAGATTACAAAGCAACCTTCAATGGAAACAGGTGGGGTGATGCAGAGCCGTGTTCCCGTGCGCCCTGGTCCCGCTGTCTCCATCCCGTTCCTGGTTTGCAGTAAGGCATGGCTGTGCCACACCGTGCCCTTGCAGCATCACTGTCCCTTCCCTTGAGCGCCGTGGATGGGTTTGGCACCGCACTTCTCAGTTCCCTGCCTCCACCCCCAGCCAGGAAATGTTTCTCAGATCCATCTTCCAGAATTTCTGCTGTCTCCTAAGTGCCATCTAAAGAGCTGCTCGCTTGTGAATGGGCGATGTGATTAATGAAGGAGCAGGCTGCAAGAAGCAAATGAGCCATTTGTCTGGCACGAAATAAGGATACGTTAACGAGGGGCATAATGGGAGCTGACAGAGCTGTGTGAGCCCATCTCCAGGTGCCCCTCGCCCGCACAGGGAGGAGTGCAGGAGGACGGGGTGACCCTACAGCATTTGCCCATTTGCATTTTTTGGTGCTTCCTCCCATCTTGGAAGGCATAGAATTGGGATTTTCAAACCATTTCGTTGTGTGTGTGTCAGCGTGGCCATGAACCCCAATGGGCTGATATGGGGTGGGCAAGTGCTGCTCCCCTGCCTCATCCACATGCTGGCAGCTCGCTGCTCTCAGCCTTGAGGCGATGCTTTCTGGGCAGCCCCACACAGGCAGTGCACAGCCCCACATCCCACACGTAGCACTGGTTCCACTGGGAGGGGACGCTGGGGATGTCCCCATAGGGTTGCTATGGGTTGGCTGAGTGTCCCCATGCCAACCCCCAGCCATGCTTCTTTCCCTGCTTTGCACCACCCTGGTTTCCCAGGCCAATGAGCGCACTGAAAGCATTGCTGTAGAGGTTTTGCTCTCCCTCTGATGAAGCTGATGTGCACAGCACCCCCACAGCTCGCTCGTGTTGCACACCAGCACATGCAAGCCCATTTTTCTGCTCGCTGCAGACCCTCTTCTTCTGATCGGCATCTTATTCCTGTGGCCTTTGTGTCTGAGAAATGGTTTGAAATCTCCTGCTGACTGGCCGAAGCCTGTTTTACTTCCTGGGCAGGGCAGACGCCGTCTGGCTGTTTCCTGGTAGGTACGGCTGCCCACATCCCAGCATGGTGGTTCCCGGTGGGAGGTGGCTGTGTGCTGGGGCTGGGGTGGGCACCATTGGCTTTCTGTTCTGCTGTTGCGTTGTTTGGGGATTGTTTTGAATTTTTGTTAGCCAGCTTGGGTTGCTTTCACCTACTTGTTCCCATGAAGGTGGCAAGAAAGCAATTAGGCTTCACTGTGTGCTGCATCACAGCAGGGCGGCCGTGCCAGTTCCAGCCCCACGCTCAGGTACATTAACCCGTCAGTCCCAAGCCCCTGCTGCAATGAATCATACATTCAGTGTAAATGAAACTTCCAGCCTCCCCTGGCTGCATCTTGCTCGGAACAGCCCGTTAAACATCATGCTCAGCAACTGAACACAGCAATATAATGAGATTAGAATGGAAAGGAATAAAAAGTTAATGGTCCCAGGCAGTGCGTGGCTGGGGCAGGGCACAGGGCTGAGCCCAGCCTTCTTGGAGGGCACTGCACCAACAGAGCCTGGGGAAGGGGCTCCAGGGAGAGCCTTGAGCCCTTAGCATCCAAGTCAGTTTCTTATACAGTGAGCATCTTGAGCTCCTGAGAGAGGGAATCTTCTGGGGTGTAGCCAGAGGGCTCTTAGTCCCCATCTGTTAATGTTCTCTCCTTGTTTCTCCAGTTCAGCTGTTGTGGCCACAGAGGCAAAGTGTGAAGTTGCCTAGCCAAAGAGCTTGTGTTGGTGAGCAGGGATCAGCCCAGAGCAGGTCTGAGAGATGTTCTGCATTTCAGTGCACATCAGAAAGCCAGCAGCCGTGGTGTGCTGTACCCTTTGCTTTGTAGGCTGTGAGAGCTGACCCTTGGCTTAAAATGATTTTAGAAAAAGCAAAACAGAAACCAGCCCAGTCCTACTGCACAGCTGTGGTGCCCGGAGGAGAGTGGCTGCTGCCTGCTGCAGGAAACCTGTGCAGTTCCCACTGCTGCTCGCCAGCGTCCTGTGCAGTTTGTGCCAAAGGCTGGGTCCCTGCTCATTTCAATGGATTTCTTTAAATAGTCCAAAGCTGCTCCATTACGCTTTATTAAATCCTTGAAATTCTCATTGACCTGTTTTCCTGGAATCCATAAAATTCATATCAATGCGCTCCGGAAAAATCTATCCAAATTTTACCCGGAGCATTAGCCCTGTGATAGCATTTCAATTATTTATAAAGTTCTGTTTGGTTTCATTAATATTACCTAAATGAGATCAGTCCAAAACACGTCTCCTGCCCACACACACGTGCCTGCACCAGGGCAGCTCTGTATGCAGGTGTTTGCCTGTGGGCTGTCCCCTCTGTGAATGCTGTCTGGTTGCTGGGTTTTAGCCCCAGCAGCAGTGGAAGGATGCACTGGAGCTTGTGGGTTAGCTGCAGCTCTCCCTTCCAGCCCATTTCTTGCAGTGTGTGCAAGGGATGGGCCTGAAGCAGCCCATGAGCAGAGCACTGTGCAGTGCACAGGGATTGGAAACTGCACCATCCTTGGCACTGGGAGCACCTTCCCTTGGAAAGGCTCAGAGTACTTTGCAAGTATTAATTGATGGCACTTCACGGCTCTTAGCTCTCTAATAAGCAAATTAGTGCTACCAAATGTGTACATGCAGAGCTCGAGGCGTGAGACGTGATGTGACCAGGGACAAGGATGGTGGGAGTGGAGAGGGGACAGGGAAACTTTGTGTAGATGAACACTGTGAGGTTGGGCATGAGATCTGTGGGGGCTGTTCAGGTTGTGCTCAGTGTACGAGAGCTGAGCATCTCTGCTCAGTTGGCAGCTCAGTCACTGATGGGTGAGCTGGGCCACTTGGGTGGAAGGGACAGCACAGTGTAGGTATAGGGTTGGCACGGTGTGGGTGTAGGGTTGGCATAGTGTAGGTGTAGGGTTGGCATAGTGTAAGTATAGGAGTTGGCATGGTGTAGGTGTGGGGTTGGCATGGTGTAGGTGTAGGGTTGGTATGGTGTAGGTGTAGGGTTGGCACAGTGTGGGTGTAGGGTTGGCACGGTGTAGGAATAGGGGTTGGCATGGTGTAGGTGTAGGGTTGGCACAGTGTAGGTATAGGGGTTGGCACAGTGTAGGTATAGGGGTTGGCATGGTGTAGGTGTAGGGTTGGCACAGTGTGGGTGTAGGGTTGGCACGGTGTAGGTGTAGGGTTGGCACGGTGTAAGGGCAGTATGGCACAGCCGGCTCCAGTCGCTGCAGGCAGCGCTGAGTTTTTGTAAGGCAAACTGGTGGAACTCATCTGCTTACATGGCAAGCAGATGCTGAACTTATTTCCTTAGATCAGGTTCATCCTCTGCCAACATGAGCTGTTCCGTGTGACACCGGCGCGGTCCCCGCTGCAGCGCTGGCCCTATGAAGAGCAGAGAGCTGTGCCCATGGAGAACAGCTGCTGGAGTTTTCCAGCAGATTTCACCCGCCTGCTGCCAAACCCCTCCGGAGCGCTCGCTTGTAGATGAATGTCACACCTCTGCAACAGGCAGCACATCAGCTATTTCTGCACTTCAATAGCCGCCATCCGTTCTCGCAGGCCGGCACAGCTGCAGCAGCGATGTGGCCCCAGGCTGTTTGCTGTGCACAGTGAAGTGGTCAATTACAGCATTGGCACCGGGAGCTGAGTGAGGAGTCCTAGGGGTGCATCTGCAGAGCCGCAGCCAGCAGGGCTGCTTTGTTGGGCTTCACACCGACCCCTGGGCTTCTGAAATCAAGTTTGGTCTTTTGCATTATTCTTGTCCTTAATCCCACTCCCTTTGACTGAAAAACCGCATGGAATGAGATTATACAAAAATCTGTAAGGTTGATCAAGCGCTGACCTACTTTGCACAAAGAGGCGATGTGGAATACAATCCAAATTGTACATCCTGCAAGGCGTGCACTGAGTGGTCTTCATCCAGAGCTGTGTGCACCTTCAGCGTCGGTGCTGGGGAAGTGGGCATTTGAGAGTCTGAAATCCTCTCGGCGTGTTGATCCCACCCCAGCTTTTTTCACAAGGCAGCCCAAATTGCTGGAATTGTATGGTAATGCTGTGCTTTGTGCACTGCCATGTCCTCGTTCTGCCTGACAACAGCAAATGGTTTGTATTAACATTAACAGATAATGAGTCATCGTAAAGATCGGGGCTTGTCTTCTGAGGAATAACAAGCATTCCCAGCACACAGAAGCTTAAGGACTGGCTAGAATCTGCCCAGCTAATTAGTTGGAACGGCAGCATCCTTAGTGGGGATGGTGCATGCTAGACATCATGCTTAAAAGTGACGTTGCATTGCAGAGTGCTGCTCACCAGCTAGCCAGAGGTCACGGTGCACAGGACAGCACTTCTGCAGGCACGGGGCTGGATGTGGAGCTGCCCCACGTGCAGCAATCACAAGGCACGCTGGCCTGCCCTGCAACGCATATCGACATCCATAAAACCCCATATGCATAAAGTGGCCACGGCACTGATGGGGACTAATTGTCTTCTGAAGGTTTAAAGATCACGTAGGGAGCAATCTGTCAGAGGATGGCAAATAAATAGCTTGAGAAGAACTTCAATAGGATCTCTGTTTTTGATGCTTAACCAATTCTCTATTGATTTCTTTAGGGCATTTAACTTTAGAAAATCTTGTTAGTACTCATCATCGCCTTCTCATCTGCCAGAGCACTCGATGCTCTTATCCTAAGTATGAAAAGCTCCAGAATGATCAGAAATAAATTACTCCTCGGAAAGCAGGCCGAGAAGTGTGCAGTAAGGCACACCTCAGCTTCTTACTCACTCCTGCTCTTCACCCAAAGCATCTGCTGCACCAACACGCGTGGGACGCCGCATCCCCGTGTTGCACGTGGCAGGAGGGGGGCTGGGGGCTGGGTTGGACCAGGCAGGGCTGGGACCTGTCCCTGCATGGGGCTTATGTGGTCAGCAGGGTGGGCACTGCAGGGCAGTGGGATTGATCCTTACCACGGGTGGTGGGCAACAGCAAATGTGACTGCAGCTTGAGAGAACTGATGCACGTCCGGATGCGTTTCCCTGTTACGAACTTAATCTTTCATTTTCTTTTCGTTTTCCGCAGGATTCCATTGGTGAACCTGTAAAAAAAAAATTTAAAAATAATGGGTTACCTGTACCTACCATTTCTGTTTACCAGTAGGAGACTCAAAGAGCAGCGTTCTATGGGCCAAATATATTTTTATAAAAATGAACACGCCTGTAGGTAACTGCGTTTTTCCAAGAGTGCGTTTTTTTGGTTTTTTGGAGAAGAGAAAAGCGTGCGAGCAAAGAATCCCACGAAGGAAGAGGAAACCGAGAAGAGCTGGAAGGAGCAGGACTGAGCAGCTGGAACTTGGGATACGGACTACGATTCTGAACCTGTGCCAATAATACCATTATGTGCCATGTACTGATGCAAAAGACTTCGTGAGAAGCAGAAGCTAAGTCAGTAACACGCAGAAATGCTACCGAGGACAGGGGAGGGGCGTCTCTTCCGATGGGGTCATTGATTCCGGTCCACATACATACATACATATGATATATATACAGAGAAAATATATATACACACACAAAACACTTTTTTTGTACTGTAGCAATTTTTGAAGATCTTAAATACTCATTTTTAAAGAAAACGTCACGGGCTAAAAGTCTGATTTCTTTAACATGCATAATATGACCTAGTCAAAGCGATGTTTTCTACTTGGGCAGCTTGCCTTTCCAACCTAGATGTGTATATATAGATAGACATATACATATATATATGTGTGTGTGTATGTATGAGCATATATATGTATGTATACATATATGGATAGTTTTATTTTCATTCTGGAGATGCGTTTCAGTGGTGGGTGCGTGACGGGGCCGCGCTGGCAGTGGGTGCTCGCGCCGCGCAGCCCCGATGCGATGGGCTTGGAGAGCTTTGAAAGTGGGTCTGGAGCAAGAGCAGAATGGAAAAGGGGTTTTCCACCTGTTTGCAGCCTGAGCATCGTGGGGATGGCACCCACAGGGGACAAAGTCAGGGTCCACAGGGGTCTGCTGGCGTCCCATCATGAGATGCTTCCCGCTGTGCTGCTTCAGAGCGCAAAGGGCAGCGGAGTTCAGACCAAAGTCCTCCGGTTCTTTTTGTAACCCACCCTCCCGAGTGTATGGACGGTTTTTTAGAGTTATCCAGATACGCATTCTGATCATCTGCTCAATCCTCAGCTCCATTTCTTTATTCTCTGTGTGTCGTTCTAAGAAAAGGCAACTCGGCCCTTCTGGCGCTGTGCATCACCATGCATGCAGCCGCTTCGTTCCGTAGCATTCTCTGTCCTTTTCTGATGGGGTTTTGTATCCTGGAGCGTTTTTCCCCACCTTATGGGAGCTGCCCCAAGTAGAAGTCTTCCGTGCCAGAGGTGGATGTGAACTGAACATCCCTGGGGGCACTGGCTGCATTCCCTGTGGCTCTGGGGCAGCTGAGCAGCCTGCAGAGCTGGACGCAGGGTTATGTTGGGTCTGGAGGGTTTTGTTCCACGGCAGAGCCGGTTCCTTTTGCAGCAGGGTCTCTGCAGGGCTCCCTGCCCCAGGCCTTTGCGTGTTGCTGGTGGTGCAGCCCATGCCAATGATCCTCGCTATCGCATCGCTTCAGTTTTCCTTCCTTGTCTCACTTCTCTGGCACCGATCCACTCCAGCTCCGCCATCGTGTTGTGCTTTACCCATTGATCTTTCTATTTATTTGTATCTACTGGCTGCACCAAGTCCTTCCCGTGGGTATTCAGTGTAATCTTGATAGCAGTTTGACATCGTGAGATATATCTGAGTCCCTCGTTCCTGGCACCGGGAGCATCGCGGTGAGCTCCTTCCCTTAGGGAGCCACTGCCTGGAGCTCGGTCCAGTGGAGCCACAGGGAAGGGGATGTGTCTGCATGTCTGTATGTCAGGGAGCACAGTCAGACAGCTCCAACCCCAGGCAGGGCTCCATTGCCACGAGCTTCCCCCACTCTGCAGAAGGACATGGCCTGGCCACCCCGAGGCTGCTCAGCGCTGAGCCAGGAGACAAACGTAGATGCACAATCTTCCCTTATTTATAAGGACCAACAGCACTTGCACTTTATCAGAGAAATCCTCACATCCCTATGCATGCCAAGCACACCAAGAAAAGGAACAACTGCCAGTAGGAAGGAAAGGAAGGGAGGGAGGAGCAGAGCTGTGAATGTGGTGGTTTACCAGGCAGGACTCAGCATCCTGGTGCTGTTTTGTAGTAAATAGAAATGAAACCATGTTTCTTTCATTCCCTGCTATTGATGAGAACCAAAAAAAAAAAAAACCAAAAAACTATGACATGAAAACCTGGAGCTGTATGTTCCCAGGGAGGTGGTGGAGTCTCCATCCCTGGAGATGCTCAAGAAATACAGATATGTGGCACTTGGGGACATGGTTTAGTGGGCATGATAGAGGTGGGTTGGGGTTGGACTTGAGGATCTTAGAGGTCCGTTCCAACCTGAATGATTCTTTGATTGTATGATTCTGTGTTAGTGGAGTAGACCTGCTGGGGAGACTTATTGCATGGGGGAAGAGCAAGAAGTGCAGTGTTTGCAGGCACCTTCTGACGAGCTGTGCCACGCCGTAGCCGCCCCATCCCACTGCTGTCTGCTGCAGCAACAGATGACTGCTCTGCATGGATGCCTTCAGCCCTTTGCAGACAGCAGCTCTGCCCTGAGCTGCTGGTCATTGCTCCAAGTTCCACTGATGTGAACCAGCCCAAAACTCATTCATAATAACGGGGAGGCTCTGCAGATGCTGCTGCTGCCGCCGCCGGGTGCTCAGATGTGCTGGAACTGCTTGCCCGAGCAGCAGGGCTGGCTGCTTTGCAAGGACATGTGCACGTTTGGAGAATTAGGCCTTGAGAAAGGATTTTTCTTTTGTCGTTCAGCAGCTGAGCCTGCTTTCCAGCCAAACAGCAGAGCACGGGCAGTGGGAAGCGCTGCGCCTTTCCATGGAGCGCCGGGGCCGCGCTGTGCTGTCGGGTCGTGCTTGGTGCAAGTGAGCTGGCAGCTCGGAGGAAGAGTTGGGATGTTTGCTCTGCCATAAGCTTCCAGCCACTTCTTTCCATTTCATTTTTTGGGTTTCTTACTCTTTTAGTGGTTCTCGAGAAATGCATCCCAGCTGCCAGATCCCCAGATGCGTAGCGGTGCATTGCGTTTCGCCGTGGCTCTGTCCCGTTGCAGGGAATGGGAACGAGCCCCTTCCCCTGTGCTCCGTGGGAGCTGGGGGGCCAAGGACCCGGGTGGCTGCCCATATCTCAACACCCAATTGTTTACCTTCATTCTGTCTTCCCAGCGAGAGAAATGGGCATCCCACGGTGGGTTTCATGGGAGCACCGCTGGGAAGGAGCGCTCCCACAGCATTCTTGTGACTCAAATTCATTTCCAGGGTAGGTAGGAATGTGGAGTAGTGACAGCAGAACAGGCGTAGCGATGACAAGAGCGCTGCAGAGATGGATTTCAGGTTACCTCTTCTCCATTGGCAGCTTGTTACAAAGGAAAGGTAATTCAGCTAAAATGGTAGTTAAATAGTAGATATTCTACACATATTATATATTTTGTAAAAAAAATAAAATAGAATAAAAATATATATATAATAACTCAGCCCACCCATTCCAGGATGACTGCGGTTGGAATTTTTCATTCAACCAGCTATAAAATCTGTACGTGAGTTTTTCAAAACCAGCAAGAAATCCCTCCTCCATCTCAGACATCTGTGGGTCCGCTTCGGTCTGCAGGTCTCACCCAACGCTTCTCACACATTTTTAAGAATTATTCTCAGCATTTGTAGGGTACATTTTTAAACAGCGTCATGAGTGGAGATATTTACTTTGAGAAAAAGTATACGTTGCACAAAAATGTACACTAAAGGCACAGATTTCTGACCCAGATTCTTCTATTTTAGGTTCCGAGGGGTTTATTTTTTTTGTTTGATAGGACATGTACAGTGAAGTTTACAGTTTATTTTTATTTTGCCAAAAAACATTTTCTAACATGAGACAGCTTTTACTTTGTAACCGGTTTTACATCACTGAATACTTTATTTTTTTTTTCTGGGAAAATTCTGTAACGTGAGGCATCGGTGCGCGGCGGTGCATCCATGGGGACGCGGCCTGGGGCACACAGCACAGCACTGCTGCGTGTACAG